ACTCAGGGCGGTGAACAGGCGATAATAAAAATCACAATAAATATCTATTCTAAAATCAAATTAAATAAATAAAGGCCTGCTCTAAAATACCCCATATAAAAACCTATACTAAAACCTAATTAAGACTACGCCAGGCCGGCCGCACGAAATAGATGGGTTTTCAGGGCTCGGCGAAAAAGGCGCAGGTCCGCAGTTGTACATAGGTCGGGGGGTAGGTCATTCCAGAGGGCAGGAGCTGCCACAGAGAAGGCTCTCCCCCTGGGGGTCGCCAGCCGGCATTGACTGGCCGACGGCACCCTAAGGAGGCCCTCTCTGTATTTGGTAGGAGGCGGTCTTGCAAATACCTAGGTCCATTGCCATGGAGCGCTTTAAAGGTTGTTACTAACACCTTGAAGCGCACCCGGAAGGCCACAGGCAGCCAGTGCAGCTCACGCAGCAGAGGTGTTACATGGGAGTATCTAGAGGGAGAGTGGGCGTGGCTGTGTTGGTCATGGCAGATTGGGTGGGTGTGGCCAAGGTGGATGTGATCACGTTGATGTTGCTCGTGGGGAGGGACGCCTGTGGGGGCCGGGCAGGGTTGGGGGAGATCCAGGGGGTCTCTGGCAGGTGGGGCGGTGGGCAGGAGGCTCGTACTGCGGGGTGAGGCGAGGCAAGGCGAGGCAGGGTGGGGGTGCCATTGTCACAGGGCAAGGCGAGGCAGGGGCCGGGGCGGCTGCTGCCTGACACCATCGGCCCTTGCACACAGAGGCCAGCGAGCGCATGGGTGCTGGGATGCATCTGGCCATGTGGGACCTCGGCAAGTTAGCGGGCGGCTGGTTGAAGAGGGACGGTTGCCATCTCCGGGGCATGACGCGCGTGCCCACAGAGAGGGCTGTGAGTGCCGCCTCTGGCACGCGTGCTATAGGTTCGCCACCACTGATTTAGGTTCTTAGCAGTGCTAATGTATTTGAATTGTATTTCGCTTCCTTTCCTCTATAAGACTTAAGCATTCAGCCTTCTATAGATTTTAATTAATTAGTCTGACAGCTCTTTCTTTGGGTTTAAAAGTGCTGGACCTTTAAATCTACAACAGGGAAAATCATAAATCAGCACCCATTCATCTATGCCAGGGGTCTCCAAACTTGGCCCTTTTATGACTTGTGGACTTCAACTCCCAGAATTCCTCAGCCAGGCACGCCTGGCTGAGGAATTCTGGGAGTTGAAGTCCACAAGTCATAAAAGGGCCAAGTTTGAAGACCTCTGTCTTAAAGCAAATACAACATGCCCAATTTTTTGAAAACTAAAAAGTAGATAGGTGAAGAATTTGTATCCTTTGCTTGCTGCTGATCTACGGTTCACGGTACACCATGCTGTTGACCTTAAGCACCACTTGAGGGTCCCAAGTTCCTCAGCCCAGGCACGCTAGCTGAGGAATTCTGGGAGTTGGAAGTCCACAAGTCATAAAAGGGCCAGGTTTGAAGACCCCTGCTCTATGCAATGTATTCCACTCTCATGATCAGTCTCAGAAGGGAAAATAAAAAGAGCTTAGCCCCTAGCCAAGTGAAGAGAGAAAGAAAGCACTTAGACATGTGGGGGGAGGGGCAGTCCTCCTCTCAAAAATCTAATTTGCACGCAAGAAATGGTACAAAGCTTAACAAACCAGAAATGAACACACCTTCCCCCTCCACTTGTCAGCACTGGAGCTGGCCTGGTTAACAGATCCGAAATCTGTGAAGACAACTTTGTCTTGGCAGCCGTTTGCTGCTGGACTCGCACTTCAGCAGCATCGGCTAAGTGCATCAGTGTTTTCCGTTCCGGGCTTTCTTCAAAATTCTTGCAGCCGATACATTTGCAAATTGAAGAACACATGATCTTTGCCTGCAACAGGGAGAAATCGAAAGTCAACCGAGTGCACTTTCACTGTGGTTTAGAGAACTGCATGGAATGTACAGAATAAAGTGCTGCTAGGTACAAAATCCCGACTGCTCTTTGGAAGGCCAGATCCTGAAGTTGAAACTCAAGTACTTTGGCCACCTAATGAGAAGGAAGGACTCACTGGAGAAGGGCTTAATGGTGGGAAAGATGGAGGGCAAGAGAAGAAGGGGACGACGGAGAATGAGGCGGCTGGATGGAGTCACTGAAGCAGGAGGCGTGAGCTTAAATGGACTCCAGAAGATGGTAGAGGACAGGAAGACCTGGAGGAACGTTGTCTATGGGGTCGCGATGGGTCGGACACGACTTCGCAATTAACAACAAGGTACAAAATCGGTTACATTTGGAGCTTCACCTTTCAGTGTAACCTCCGCGAGAAAAAATACTGGCAAATCCGTGATAATTCAAGTATTGTCATAATGACCTTTCTTTCATTCCAGCTCTGTCCACGAAGATGTTCTTGTGCTGGGGATTGTTTATGCAAGTATAAAGTAGATTTTCTGACCTAGAGAAATTCAATGACTCTCCTCTTCACCACAGCTCTATTTGGCTTCTACATCACAATCTCCCTAACTGAACACAATTTCTCCATTTAGATATTATTTTAGTCTGCTATTCCTCTTATTTAGTTTTGATGATTGTTACAAAACATCCTTAAGTTGTCCATTCTTCTGAAGCCCAAATTAAGGTGAACGAGGCTATAAATATGCTGTAAAATAAATATCTGATTGCCACCTCAAAAATAATACAGGTTTTCAATTTCTGTCTCATTTCTGGCATTTACCCTTAATGAACTTCTGAAACTGTATGATCTTGATGTAGCAAATCCTCTCAGGATGGCTTTCTTGATTGTTCTTGAACCTTTTTTATAATTAAAGATGTGGCTAGCATTTTTTTAAATTTACAGCAAAGGCATTTTGACAAATAGTGTAGAAAATTAATACTAATAGAGTAATCAAAAAACTTACTAACTTGGTATGGACAGGAGGAAATAAAATTGAATTAAATCAATTTTATTGTTCCTGAAAAGCTTACTACTCTGAAATATCACCCCATCTTCTATAAAAGAATTTTCCATCTATTGCTTGACCAGAATATAGGATCATTTTTAAACAGGGGTATGGTTTTACTTCACTCAAAGAGCTACAATTATGAAGCTTCTTTTGTAGAAATGATACTCATTAAAACCATTTCACAAAAAGTTATCAAAATAGAAGCTGGAAAACCCTGAAAAACAGTCATCGTCAAATACACAGAAAGATTACTAAATAGGGAGAGAACGGTGGAAGGCCTTTATAGAAGTGAGACACTGGGATTGTCTCCATTAAGAAGATCAACCGACATTAGGAATTTTTTTAAAAGAACTGAAGATATTTTTATTAACTAGGTTTTTGGTGACTGAACACCTACTTAACTCTGAGTTTTTAAGAGGTGTAAAATATTAGTATTCCACGTAAATTTTAGAACTAAATGGTTAGATTTTTAAAATACTAGATTTTATAAGACTAAAAACAAAAAAAGCATCACCAAAAAGCTCCTTTTTACCTCATAACACTCGCAATAATTTTTGAGGCATCCAGACCTTTTGCAGTTACAACCTTTGCTGTGTCGCCTGTCCGACTCGCCTTCCTTTCCCTTCCCTATTTTAGGTTTAAAGGCTTCGGGATTTCTGTCCAGGCAGGCCTAACAAGGTAATCGTAAAGAGAGAAGGGAGAGAAGAAAGAGAGAAAACAAAATGTTAGGGTCCTGTGCAGGAAAAACTGGCAAAAACACCCATCTAATGTAGTAAAGACAACAACTGTGGTTTCCACCCACTATTCAGGAAGGAATTCATGAGTACCGTGAACTTGGGAAATGTATTTCCCCAAGATTTCCCTTTATATATATTTAAAAAACAAACCTTACCTTGATTGCTTTTTGCCTATCATTTTCATGGTCCAGGTTGTTATAGCAATTTGTACAGTTGCAATTGTTACAGAATTCCCCGTTTGCAAAGCAATCGCAGTATCTGTTAAAAAAAATCAAAAAAAAAAAATCTCTAATGATGATTAACCAATTCAGTGCTGAGTTTCTGACTCCTTCCCATCCTCTATCCTCTTCTGCATCCAACCACACAGACGTGTGTTGGGAGAAACTTCTGGACATGGAGGGTGGCAATCTGCTGGACTTTTATCTTTATCCAAACCTATAACCTAACCCAGGGATAGGCAACCTTGGCTCTTTTATGACTCGTGGACTTCAACTCCCAGAATTCCTGAGCCAGCCATGCTGAGGGGAAAGGGAGTTTCCAAGCTGAGCCATGCTGGCTCAGGAATTCTGGGAGTTGAAGTCCACGAGTCATAAAAGAGCCAAGGTTGCCTACCCCTGACCTAAAGATAGATGAGTGTGTGCGTGTGTGCACGCGTGTGTACCCTGGTTCCTTTATGCATGAGTGTGAGCATGTTAACCTTGGGCTTAACAGGAACTCTCAACATGTCATGAGCCATAAAAATGGTCCCTTCAAAGGAACAAATAAATTAAAGGCCAGAAACAAAGGCTGCCTCTAAAGAAAAGGCTTTTGACATTCACCTTACATGGAGTTGGGCTGATCCCCTCCTGTCCCCCTTTCCTCCTGATTCAATTGGCTCCAACCTCGCTGGGCTTTTGTAAGGCATTAAAAAGCTGAGTTTTCCACAGGCATTCAGGCTGGAATGTTAGATGTGCCCATTTTGGGAGATGATATAATATTATTTATCTTCATGATTGTTTTTATAACATTTTGCTAGCTACCCAGAGTCACTTAGGTGAGTGGGCAGCCATAGAAAATGGATTAAATCAATACAAAAAATAAGGAAATAAACTAGTATGGAAACTAGTAGGTTTCCTTCAGGTTGGCAGCCATGAATTCATCCTGGGAATAACCTGTGGATATCAGAAAAAGAAATGTTGCTTTTACCGCTTATTCTGCGAACCAGGTTTACTGTTGGTCTGCCTCTAAGTCTGAATCATTCAGCTACAGATCAATGCACAGAGACCTATTCTAATCATGCAAATGGACAGTATCATTTCAGAAGATTTTAGAGAATAATTTTTGAAGTGGAATCCCTGGGAAAAATGTGGCTTTTGTTCTTCCAGGTTTTCCCCCCCCTAATATACAGCGAAGTGGATTTTTAAATCTCCGAAGAGGTTATGTGTATAATACTCACAGCTTAAGACACAGTGATTTTGTACAGTTGCAGGGTTTTCTTGGACGATTTGCAGATTCAGACGAGATTATCCTAGAAAACAAGATTTCAGTATGATTTTTATTTATATTTCTTATTTCTAAATTGTCGATCTGCCTCAAACAGGGCTCTGGAGGGTGTACAATATAATACAATTGATAAATGAAATCTAGAAAAATTAACATTAACATTAATTTAGGATTAAAAATTAAATGACAAAATAACGACATTATGAACTTCTGAAGGATAAAAATCCCAAGAGCGGCATTTAATGCTGGTTACTGCAGGCAAGGCCGCACAACCAAATTTTGATCTCTTTGCAGAAGGCTAAGAGAGTGCGGGCCTTCCTCACATCTGGGGGCAGGACGTTCCATAAATTCAGCAGGGAAGGCTCTCTTCCTAGACCAGGGGTAGGCAACCTTGGCTCTTTTATGACTCGTGGACTTCAACTCCCAGAATTCCTAAGCCAGCATGACTCAGTTTGGAAACTCTCCCTTTCCCCTCAGCATGGCTGGCTCAGGAATTCTGGGAGTTGAAGTCCACGTGCCTACCCCTGTCCTAGACCCTGCCAGACAAAATTCCTTGACTGACGGGGTCCGTAGCATACCTTCCTTGTCTGAATGAGTGAGACCAGCTGATGTGATGGGGTGAAGCCCCATTTTGTTTTCCAAAGAAGAATATGACATTTTTGAAAAATTTTTCCATTTAAACAGCATAACATCCCTTCACAACTTAGCCTACTCAACTCAACATGTTCCACAATCAGAGGACAGAAGCATGACTCAGAGGCATTGCACAAAGGGCTCCTACAGACGAGCGTTTCAAAAGAACAAGGTTGATATGTTATGAGAAGCAAATTGTCTAAGACACCAAGTGAAGCACAGCCAATCTGTTGTGGCTTTTCCCCTGGGCTCTTTCCAGTGGGGCACAACTTCAGATGAGAATCAGGTGGCAATTGGCCATTCATTCATTCCAATGAGGAAGAAGCTATCATCTGACAGCAATGTCTAAATTTCCACACAAATCACTGTTTTGGGATGGTCTCCACTTTGCACGTATGCCCACATTAGCAACAAGCCAAAATTCATAGGTGAGCTCTTTTGGAAATCATACGCACGTACATACTCTAAAGCAGACATGTCAAACACCAGGCCCGGGGCCCGGATGCGACCCACGAAGTGGTTTCATGTGGCCCGCGAAGCCATCCTGGAAACAGTGAGGGAACGGCCCCCTCTGCCTTGGCCCTGGCCCAGGCCGGCCGTAGTGGCCATCTATGCTGAAACCCATTCGGTCTTAGCTCCATAAGCTCCCCCCCTGCATGGCCTGAGAGGAACAGTGAGGCTCCTCCAGTGGACCATGCCTTGGCATTTGCCCTGGTCCCACCCCCTTCTGCCAGAGACCCTCAGATCTGTCCCACTCCTGCCCAGGCCCCAACAGACACCCTTGACGCGAACGATGTAGAGCTGGCCACACCCACCCAGTAGGCCACACCCACCCCATTCACACCCACCCAGTAGGCCGCACCCACCCTGGCCACACCCACCCGGCCCCCTGAGGGCAACCACAATGCTGATGCGGCCCTCAACGAAATTGAATTTGACACCCCTGCTCTAAAAAGAAACTTATCCAGGTAGCAACTACAAACACATCCCTTTTTCTAAGAAACGGAAAAACAATTCCAGGTAGGCCATCTTCCTCAAATCTGTCTTTAGACTCTGCATGATCAGGAAAACATGATGTAAAAATAAGCTAGATGGATGGACAGGCTCTTCTTTTAATTGGATTCTTCTATATAAAGGCTAAGCCTAACAGATGGCTGCAAGGTTATATTCTAATAGTTGTAAGATCCTCTCTCTCTGTTTATCTCTTTTTAACCGCCTGTTTTCAAATTGTTTTCTGTCTTGAGACTCTGGGGTCAAATAACCCAATCAATAACACGACAATCTGGTCAGGTAGCCAAGTTGTGCGAAACAAAGAAGGAAAATCTTCAATATCTAGTATACATAGACAAGACACTATGATTGCAGCAGCTGTTTTTTAGTAGCTGAACATTAAACTCTATTTCCAATCTCATTTCCTTCATGTAATATGTTCTGTAATTTATATAGACAATACCCACCCATTGAACGGAAGCCGAGCTTGGGTCTGGATACTTGATGTCCCACTAAGATTAGTACTGCTCGCTATGGAGACACAAGATGGCTGCTGTAGCTTAAAAAACACACACACACACAGTTAATGCATCACATGCTGTCTGTAGATGAGGATTTTCACAAATAGCTGCATTAATGACACTCCCTTCTTTTTCTTGGAAGTCATAAGATAGTCATTGGTATTTTTTTAGGCAATATGGCTTTCTAGAAACTTGGTCTTGGATGGTATCTTCCAATTTAGTATACCTACAAGGATAGCCTAATCCAGGGGCCTTCCAACTTGGCCCGTTTTTATGACTTGTGGACTTCAACTCCCAGAATTCCGGCTGAGGAATTCTGGGAGTTGAAGTCCACAAGTCATAAAAGGGCCACATTGGAAGGCCCCTGGTCTAATCTCTTGTACTGTAGTTGCCATGTTGATGATGAATAAAGGCTTAAAGTGAAGAAAGAGATAGGCAAATTTACTAGAAGTCACTAAAAATAACAGCCTGCTTGACTGCACATACTGTACATAAAAAATGCTTCGTTGATTTGCAATCAACGCTAGCTTCAGGAGGGCAAAATTCCACAGGTATATGAACTGTAGAAAACTAAGCATGGTACATCCTGTTCCCACCACGATCTTTTACAATAATGTTATAATTCTCTGCAGTTCCAGTATTTGCTTTGGACTCTTATTGCCTTTAGTGCAGGGGTCCTCAACCTTGGCAACTTTAAGACTTGTGGACTTCAACTCCCAGAATTCCTCAGCCAGCAAAGCTGGCTGAGGAATTCTGGGAGTTGAAGTCCACAAGTCTTAAAGTTGCCAAGGTTGAGGACCCCTGCTTTTAGTGGATTTCTACAAAACATTTCTTTACAGATTTTCTGAAACTCATTTGATGATACCCCATTTCCCCCCCTCAATACATTTAAGGCTAGATAACATCAGAATGGACGAGCATCTTAAAAAACAAAACAAAACGGATCCAGGATTTATTCAGAATGTGTAATACCTGAAAAAAGTTGAGTCGAAGGGAAACGTGTAACCCAAATCAAGCTTGTGAACCTGATTTTCCCTATTCGTGTTTTATGCTTCCCATAAAAGTATTCTGCTACCGTAACTCTTTTTTTCCCCTGCATCTTTTACACAAGCTGGCTGCCCTCCAAATTATGGATTTCAACACTCAGAACTCCTTAGAAGGCTGGCTGGGGAATTCTGGGTGGTGACATCCACCCATGTGAAGAGTGCACAGGCTACGGAAGACAACGTCGAAGAATAGCTGTTCTTTCTAGCCTGCAGTTGCCTTTTAAATATTGCCACGCTGAGTTTCTCTAAATGCGACATTGCAGAAATATATTCTGCTTGGCCACCTCAATTACATTATGTCACACTTCATTTCTCACAGTCTTGTTCCAAATTATTTTTTTTTCTTGGATTTTTAGGGAATAAAGAATGTTCCCTCTTCTCAGAGAGCAAATTCTAGACCAGTCATGGCAAACCTTTTAGAGACTGAGTGCCCAAACTGCAACCCAAAACCCACATTTATCGCCGGGTGCCAGGTGGGCGTGGCCCACTGGGTGGGCGTGGCTGTGGTGGTCATGGCAGACGGGGTGGGTGTGGCCAAGGTGGGCATGGTCATGTCGATGTTGCTCATGGGGAGGGACGCCTGTGGGGGCCGGGCAGGGTTGGGGGAGATCCAGGGGGCCTTTGGCAGGTGGGGCAGTGGGCAGGAGGCTCGTCCTGCAGGGTGAGGCGAGGCAAGGAAGGGCAGGAGTGCCATTGTCGCAGGGCAAGGCAAGACAGGGGCCAAGGCGGCTGCTGCCTGACACCATTGGCCCCCGCACACAGAGGCCAGCGAGCGCATGGGGGCCGACAGTGTCCGTCAGCAGCCACAGCCTGCCGGCCCCTTCACTGGCACACTCTGGGGCTCTGCAGCCTGCCGCTAGCAGTTCAGAGAAGCCACCTCTGAGCTGGACGGCTGACCGCTGAGGAGGTGATACAGTGGGTCATGCCCAGGAAAAGGAGAACATGGCCAGGAGGGATGGGACGGGGGGGGGGAAGGGAAATCCGGCCACGTGGGACTTCGGTGAGTTAGCGGGCGGCTGACTGAAGAGGGACAGTTGCCATCTCTGGGTCATGGTGCGCGTGCCCACAGAGAGAGCTCTGAGTGCCGCCTCTGGCACGCGTGCCATAGGTTCGCCACCACTGTTCTAGACTCTATTAAGCAGGTAACGTCTCCCATGTAACGCCGTTGCTGCGCGAGCTGCACTGGCTGCCGGTGGCTTTCCGGGTGCGCTTCAAGGTGTTTATTATCATCTTCAAAGCGCTCCATGGCATCGGACCTGGTTATCTCCGAGACCGCCTTCTGCCGCAGACTACCTCCCATCGGCCGATACGCTCCCACAGAGTGGGTCTCCTCAGGGTGCCGTCAGCCAGACAGTGCCGGCTGGCGACCCCCAGGGGGAGGGCCTTCTTGGTGGGAGCTCCCACCCTATGGAACGAACTACCCCCAGAGATCCGGGTGATCCCGGATCTCCCTTCCTTCCGCCGCGCCCTTAAGACATGGTTATTTAAGTTGGCAGGACTGGCCTAAGGGTTTTTAGCTTGGTTTTATAATATTTTTAAAAATAACAAAGGCCTAATAATATTTCATTTTAATCAACATTTTAACTTTAGTATTTTCTGTATTTATTTATTGTTTTAAAAGGCTGTAAGCCGCCCTGAGTCCGCAGGGAGAAGGGCGGGGTAAAAATATAAATAATAAATAAAATAATAAATAAAATATACTCTACAATGTTTAATCTCAACTTTCAAAATGAAGAAAACATCTCAGATTATTTCTAAGATTTAACCTTACTAATGAACTGTTTCTCGCAGCATCCCTTAAACCAGTGCTTCTCATCTCAGTAACTTTAAGATGTGTGGACTTCAATTCCCAGAATTTTCTAGCCAGCATGCTGGAAAGATTCGGAAGGTGAGAAACTGCCTCCAGCTACCAAATATACAAATCCTCTAGTCTCTTCTCCAAGAGTATTAGTTATAAACACTGTTATTTTTTGTAAATTCCTTCCCATAATATCATACCTGTGTGACATACTGAGCTGGGAGAAATGCATATCCCACGTTTCCTGTGCCGTGAGCAGGGGCCAGGACAGTGCCAGGGGGAAGGTTGGTGAGGTTGGGTTGGATCTGTGGCAGTGGTGTGGCAGGCATAATAAGTCTTTGTTGTGGCTGGCTTGTGGTAACTATCTGTGAAGTTGTGTTCATTGGTTTGGGGGCTACCTGCAAGGAAGGAAATATTCAGGATATCTTTCTTGTATATCACACTACAATCTCTTGCAGCAAATAACTTCATAAGGATAGTCAGAGTTAAATTAACTGAAAGTTTCTGTGAAAAACTAGGGATTCACAGGAAGCTGCTGTACGTGGAACTTACTTGTTTGACTGTCTGTGTTGCTGGGATAATAGGCACAGACATCCGTACAGGGGTCGCATTCACCACCACTGGTTTTGCTGTTCAAAAGAAATTGAATGAGATACAATATGCAACTTTCTAAGACATTAAAAAAAGGTTAGGCAGCTTCCTTAAATATCCAGTCATCCCTCATTCTGGTAGGTCTATCTTGAGCTATGTCAGGGGTAGGCAACCTTGGCTCTTTTATGACTCGTTTATGACTGTGCTGGCTGAGGAATTCTGGGAGTTGAAGTCCACGAGTCATAAAAGAGCCAAAGTTGCCTACCCCTGAGCTATGTCATGTTCAGCAAGATACACTACCCAGCAGGTCATATCCTCCAGTCCATATATAAATAGCTACAGAAAAATGTCATGAATTAAAAAAATGTTTGCTATAAAAACCAGATACAATTTTGTTTAGAATCTAATTTCGGGGAAACAGAATAAGAACACGGCCCATATGAGCATTTTGAACGTAGCCATATAATTTCCACAGTAGCATATACATTCAATATATTTGGGTAACTTTAATGTAAAAAAATAAGTCAAAGCAACGCTGAGCTGTTTTCAAGGTTATACATTTTCATTCTAATTTCGTTTCCCAAGAATTGTTACTTATGTTGCTATGATAATATTAGCAGACTTGGTGGACCACAGGCTGCAAATGGCTTTTTAAAAAAATACAGAATATCCTAGAGCAGTTGTGGCGAACCTATGGCACGGGTGCCAGAGGCGGCACTCAGAGCCCTCTCTATGGGCACGCGTGCCGTTGCCCCAGTCCTAGGCCTTCAGCTGGATTTTATAAAACCTTTTTGCTTTAGGCCTCCGCCACCATGTGCAAAAAAAAAGGTTCAATCAGTCAATTTCAAATTCTCACGGGGAAAAAAAGATCTTGCAAAGTTGGAATTGATTGATTGAACTTTTTAGTCCCACCCAGTCTGCCATTACCACTGCAGCCACGCCCAGCCAATGGGCCACACCTACCCAATTGGCCACACCCAGCCAATGGGCCACACCCACCCAGCACTCGATGATGCATAAGTGGGTTTTGGGTTGCAGTTTGGGCACTCGGTCTCTAAAAGGTTCGCCATCACTGTCCTAGAGCAGTGTTTCTCAACCTTGGGTATTTTAAGATATGTGGACTTCAACTCCCAGAATTCCCTAGCCAGCCATGCTGGCTGGGGAATTTTGGGAGTTGAAGTCCACACATCTTAAAATGGCCAAGGTTGAGAAACACTGTCCTAGAGGGAGACGTTCAACACAACAAATGACAAACATGCCCTAGAAAGGGGAAAAGTTCAGCAAGAGAAGTTGCGAAATTGTGTTGCAGGGGTGTATAACAGGAGTCTCCAAGCTTGGCAACTTTTAAGATTTGTGGACTTTCAATTCCCACAATTTCCCAGCCAGCTTGGGTGGATGAGGAATCCTGGGAGTCCACAAGTCTTAAAGTTGCCAAGGTTGGAGACTCCTGGTCTATAGGAATGCTTGGAAGCACTCCATACTGCGAGGTTTTTCCTATGGAGCCCGCTAACAATTCACAAGCAGGCTTAAGAGAATTCCAAGGTATACAGATACAACTTGAGTAGGGAACCTCCACCCTCAACCCCCCAATTCTAATGAAAACAAAAATGTGTCCAGTAGCTATGAAGTGGTCAGTGTGATGGGAAGAATAAAAAAAAGGGGGGGGGGGAGTAAAATGAAGCAAGCAGGAGGGATATCAGTGCACACTGCAACGTTCTGATGCAAATCCCAGTTGCAAACATATTAACTGAAAATTGATGAATGGTTCAAATTACTGTTTGAAATTAATCAATAAAGCTTTACACCCACGTTGCCGAATGGTCTATTTTTGAAAAGAAAATCTTTCAGAACTTTAAATAAAAGTGAACATAAAATATCAAATCTTTATTACATGGTTGGTGAATACACTACACAGGCCATGAAAAATAATGCAATAAGCATTAGTGTGATTCTGAAACACCTCCAAGAATTCTGAAGCAAAGCTGACCACGGGAGTAAGACGAGCAAACTATGGTCATAATTAAATCTTAACGAAATGGCATTTCGTTATGGCATTCTCCAACTAAGCAACGATCAATAACAAATAACCATGTTTCAATCCCAAATCTATTAAAAAATAGAAAACCAATTCCAGCTAAGCAGTAGGCTTTTGACTTGCATAAAGCATCTCCTCCAATTTGCCGTCCTCATCAAAATTCTTTTGTAGTTTCCTACTTGCATTTTTCTTAAGCACCTTCCAATGATCATAAAATATATTCAAATAAAGAGTCTTCTAACCTTGCTGGAGGTTTGCAGTGCTGGTGCTGGGATTCTGATTGGCTGGCTGTGCTGTACTATTGGCAGTTGTGGCAGTGACAAGCCGGACATAATGGAATTTGCTTCCAGGTACCTGAATTTGCTGAACGTTGGGTGCCGTTGTCAGGGGAATTATCGTTTTAAATTGAGAAGTGCCCACTCCCCCAACGGTGAGGGTCTGTACTGCAGATTTCACAGCCTGTTGAAACAATATAAAATTACTTTTAAGATTGCTGGCAAACCAATGCTTCATTTCTAATGAGAGTCAGCACAATTTCCCTCAGGTCCGAGACTAACAGACAAATAAAACACTGCTACCGTACTGTTCATCATTAGGCCAGAAGCTATTTGCTGAGTATGGTATAGTTGCTTGATTCTGGGTTGGCTTTAAACTATTCAATAGTGCTTTAGTTTAAGAAATAATGATGATGATGATGATGATGATGATGATGATGATGATGATGATGATGATTGATGATGATGATGATGATGATGATGATGATAAAGTTGGAAGGGATCTTGGAGGTCATCTAGTCCAACCCCCTGCTCAGGCAGGAAACCCTATACCATTTCAGACAAATGGCTGACCAGTCTCTTCTTAAAAACTTCCAGTGTTGGAGCATTCACCACTTCTGGAGGCAGGCTGTTCCACTGGTTAATTGTTCTAACTGTCAGGAAGTTTCTCCTTAGTTCTAGGTTGCTTCTCTCCTTGATTAGTTTCCATCCGTTGCTTCTTGTCCTGCCTTCAGGCGCTTTGGAG